AGTTCTATGTGGAATGCCACCTCAGCATGGTTTGATGAGCAGTGAGTAGGTCTGCGCCCAGGATCCGAACCAGCAAATCCCGGGCCGCTGAGGTGGCACGCACAAACCCAACCACTGTGCCACTAGGCTGGCACCTAAAAATACTTTTAAATTTGTGGGCCTAATAAACTGTTCTGTAATTAATAGCCAAGAAGATTAGAGTAGCACCTAAGTGCTTTCAGTTATTATTCTCATTACTCATATGAGAAAAAATTAAAATTCAGAGAAGTGAAGGTCAAGTTTTATCTGACAAAAGAGGACTCAATCTCCAGTCTCATGCTTTCACATCTCACGATTTCTCTAGAATATTATGATGCTTTGTACCAATATACCAGAGATCAAGTATATTCAATGGAAATACTCAGTTCCTGGAGAACTAGAGGGTGGAAAGTAAAATCTAAGAATTATATATATTTGCTTTACCTAAATCCATTTCCCTTTAAAAATGTAAAGCACCAGAGAGCTGCAAAAACCTAAAATAATTCTTGTAAAACGTGGTTTAAGTAGGATTTAAGCCCCCACCAGAAATAACACAATTGCCAAACAGCCCTGCTGTACTTTTCCTTCAAAGCACTCACCACAATTAGATTAATTTTCTCTCTCTCACTAGACTGTAACTCCCTAAAACCCTTCTTCACTTCTTTCCCAGCACCTGACAGAGGCTGGCTCCTTGTTGAGTATAAATGAATGGATTCAAAACAAATCAGGTGAGCTCCGTCAGTGCCAGAGCTCTGGAAACTTCTGCCTCCTTCTGAGGTCAGGACACCTTTCCAAACACAAGCTCGTGTTCTGGCCTTTTCCCCTGCCAGTTAGCAGCTCTGTAACTGTCTGCAAGTCACTCAGCATTTCTGTGCCACAGTCTTCTCCTCTGTAAAATGGGAAAGACCTCTTTTCATAGTTTTATATTCCCTTTTCTTTATTCTTTCAGATAAACACATTTCGTCAAGTTCCAAAAAAAAAAGCCTATTGTGATTTCAGCAGGAATTGCATCACACCTATAAATGAATATCAGAATAACGATACCATTATATTTAATCTTGCCACCCAGGAACATGGTATATCTCCTCTTAAGACTATCAGTTCTCGGCCGGCCCCCTGGCTTAGTGGGTAAGTGCGCACGCTCCGATGCTGGCAGCCCGGGGTTCGGATCCCAGGCGCGCACTGCTTCTCCGGCCATGCTGAGGCCACGTCCCACATACAGCAACTAGAAGGATGTGCAGCTATGACATACAACTATCTACTGGGGCTTTGGGGGGAAAATAAATAAGTAAATAAAATCTTTAAAAAAAAAGACTATCAGTTCTATTACCCCTTAATACTGTGTTGTGAATGCAATTTCTAAAAATAATATTTTTAACAAATTATTGCTTATATAGAGGAATACTACTAATATTATATATTTACCTTATATCCTCTGCTTTATTAAACTGATAATTATAACAGTTTTTCAGTTGATGACTTTAGGTTTTTTATGTATACAAGGATCACATGTGCAAATGATGATATTTATTTTTATAAATTATTTTATTTTTCCAAAATTAATAACTCTTATTTGCTTTCTATATTATTGCAATGGCCAGAACCTCTAATCAAGGTTTTGTTCCCAATTTTAGTAAAGATACCTCTAATAACTGACCCTTCAGAAAAGGCTGGCTGTTTGAAATACTGTATTTCACTGAATGTAAGATGTCACAATTTGTTAAGACACATGATTATTTTATGTATCAACAAGAACACACTGCCAAGTAAATTATAACACAAAATCAATCAGCTTTAAGATGCAACCTGATTACAGAGATATTAAAATATGAAAGAATGTGCATATTAAAATCAATAAAATACAGTAACTACTGGAGATTTCTATATTACATTAAGGAGGATTTCTAATTCTATTTATGAGATATTGAATTTTGGGGGGGGGGGGCGCGCGGAGATCAGCCCTGAGCTAACATCCATGCGAATCCTCCTCTTTTTGCTGAGGAAGACTGGCCCTGGTCTAACATCTGTGCCCATCTTCCTCTACTCATATGGGACACCACCACAGCATGGCCTGACAAGCGGTGCCTCGGTGCGCGCCGGGGATCGGAACTGGCAGCCAGAAGCGGAGTGCACACACTTAACCGCTACACCACGGGGCCCGCCCCATGAAGTAATTTTTTAAATGTTTATTAAGATCTTAGGCAGCCATATGGTTAAAGAAAATTGAAGTTTTGTCTGAATTCAACGTCTCATGAATTTCATTAGATCATTCATCCACTCAACAAATATTTAGAATGGCCTACTATGTGCCAGGTACTAAGGCTATATAGAGTGAGCAAAAAGAGATAGAGTTCCTGTTATTAAGTAGCTTTTAATTTTATTGGGCCATGATAAGAGAACATGACCTATACGATTTACTTGTTAATTTTGAGGTTTTCGTCTGAGGCCGACTTAGCATATGATCAATTTTGGTAAATGTTCCCTGGATCATATATATTAGGAACTGGAAATACTGGATGTAAGGGTTTGTGAGCTGAAGCAAAGAACCTGGCACATACAAGGAGTTCATACATTTGTATTTTGAAGTGTTATGTTCCCGAGGAGAATGTCAGATTTATTTCTTAAGAAACCAAGTACCATATAAATGGGAAACAATAAGTATTATAAGAATCCAGGGGCCGGCCCAGTGGCGCAAGCGGTGAAGTGCGCGCGCTCCGCTGCGGCGGCCCGGGGTTCGCTGGTTCGGATCCCGGGCGCGCACCGACGCACTGCTTAGCAAGCCATGCTGTGGCGGCGTCCCATATAAAGTGGAGGAAGATGGGCACAGATGTTAGCCCAGGGCCGTCTTCCTCAGCAAAAAAAAAAAAAAAAAAAGAGGAGGATTGGCGGATGTTAGCACAGGGCTGATCTCCTCACAAAAAAGAATTCAAAGGTAGGAGGGAGGAATCAGTTTGGCACAAAACGATCCAAAGAAAGTTACTAAAAATATGAGGTGACTCTTGAGATGGGTTTTGAAGAATGGGCAGGAATTCCCTGGGGAGCAAACAAGTGACAATCACAAGAATGGAAACTGAAGATTTTATATACTTTGCTTTAAATTAAGAATGTACTCTGCTCACTCTTTATAATTTCCTTGAGACTTTAAGATTTAAATTACTTTGGATTTTTTCTTGTTTTTTTTTGTGAGGAAGATCAGCTGTGAGCTAACATCCATGCTAATCCTCTTTTTGCTGAGGAAGACTGGCCCTGGGCTAACATCTATTGCCAATCCTCCTCCTTTTTTTTTTTTCCCCCCAAAGCCCCAGTAGATAGTTGTATGTCATAGGTGCACATCCTTCTAGTTGCTGTATGTGGGATGAGGCCTCAGCATGGCCAGAAAAGCGGTGCATCGGTGCGCGACCCGGCTCCGAACCTCGGCCGCCAGCAGCGGAGCGCATGCACTTAACCGCTAAGCCACAGGCCGGCCCTGGATTTTTTCTTAATAGAATGAACAGGATGTGGGCTGGTGGAGGAGAATTGGAAAAGGCATTTACGATTTATGAGGGTCTCGGAAACCAACGCGTTGACCCCGACTAAGCGAAGCAGCAGGTGATGCTGCTGGAGCGGCGATGAGGGTGGAGAGGGGGTTTGGAAGCCGCTTATCCCAAAGCTTCAACAACGTGGGGGCAAACTGTGCCTTAAACATTTGCCTTTGGCCTCGGCAAGAACTGGGGCCATCTCCATCCCCTCGCCGCTGGCCGACGGCAGCGGACTCTCACCTGCGCCTGGATGTAGAGGGAGACGCAGTCGTGCGACAGCCGGTACTTGCGCAGCAGCCGCAGGCATTTCACCAGATGCTCCTCCCCCGCCGACAGCTCCTCGGTGTCGATGTGGTTCACCCCGAGATGGAACTCAATAACTGCCAGCCTCACTGCCCCCTGGGCGATGGGCCCCTCGGCCTCCACCACTTCAGCCGGCAGCCCCAGGGCGTGGTCCCCCGCGCCCAAGCCGTCTTCGGCCTGAGGCCGCTCATCCTCGTCCTCAGGCGCGGGGCCCAGCAGCGCCTTGACCTCTTCCAGCAGCGCTCTGGCGCCGTACTTGGACTTGTACGGTTCCTTCTCGGGGTTTTTATGCAATTCAACCCGCGACAAGGCCAGCGCGGCCTGGAATTTCTCACAAATCTCGGCCCACGGAGCATTCGCCATAGCGGCCTTTATAGCCTGGCTTTCCTCAATGTTTGCAATCGGGACTCCCGCCTTCTTTCTGCTTTACGACACTTCACTTACGGCCCCGACAGGCCCGGGCTCCGCAGAATGGTAACCAATGGAGTCCACCAGAGGAACTGCAAGATGCTCGGCAGTGACCAATGGGAAGACGTAGTGGGCACCATAGCAACCGTTGTCATGGAAACAAAGCTGTCAATGAGGGTGGTCACACCTGCTGCCCCGCCCTCTGCAGTAGTGAGTTTCTCTCTCTCTTGACCCGGTGAAGTGGTTTATATAAAAATATCGGCTGACTTGAACAGAACACATGGAAGTATTATTTACAAACATTGCTAGCTAACTACTCTCGTTAACTGATATAAGGTGAGAGGAAGAAACCTTTTGACATTAGTGTATATAACCCAGCTCATTACTGGATAAAAATGTAACAAGGATTTAACAAGGGTAAATAATTTATTATTAACTAATATATAGCCTCTTGAGTGAAAGCTATGAATGTAAAAAGCACTCAGTGATCGACAAATATTTTCACTTCAACTCTGAAATATAGGTTGTAGAAATGTGTATAACTTCCCAAAGTAACACAAGAGTTAAGTCCCAGAGCTGTGACAAGCCACCTCATGCATGGCATTTTCCATTACATACCTTCGTAAATTATCAAGTCAAATGCGGGGAAGGGGCGTAGAAGGTTTTAACTTTTTTTTTTCCCAGGAGGAAAAGGACATTTATTTCCATACATCAGGTAAACAAAGAAGAGAGAGCATATCCCAATGAGTACAAACCAACTGCGGGAGAGAAGCGGGGACAGCTGATGGGAGCGGCACCAGGCACTGCCCTTGGGCCCCCAAGTCTGATGGTGATGGCAGGATGACCTTTGGGAGGGGGCTGGGACTGTCAGGCCACATGTTGTCATAGCTAGGATAAGTGTGTGGAGGCAGGGCGATTGGACGAAGAAAAATGACTCAGGCTCAGAGCACAGGGTGAGGACTCGTGTCTAAAACGCATTAGCACTGACCAAAACATCCATCTTCAGTTTTTCTGATCACAAGCCCTCAACCCAAGGCCATCCCTCTCAAATTGAGCTTATGGTGCAGGCAACCTGGACAGAGGGGGAGAGAGGCAGTGCTTGGATAAGCCCTGAATTGGCGTAGGTGGAAGGGGTTTACTCTTAAATAGGTCATTGCACTTAACACATCCATGAGATGAAGAGGGGTGGGGGCTGGAATTTCCAGATGGTACATATGCACCCCTGTCTGTGTAGGCTTGTTCAACCCAAACCCAGAAGCACCTGAGAGCCCCTCCTCATGCTGCCTCTTGGGAACCTGGACCCAGCTCTGCTCACCCATCTTTGCAGCTGCACAAAAGACTGCTCTCTGAAGAGCGAAGGTGGAGATGAGATTCCCCTAGTTAGTCCCTGGGTCCCAGTTGCCACTGCAGTCCCCTCCCGCTCTCAGGGAGGCAGCTGTGATGGAGAGGTTGGGTATTTAAATTAAAAAGTAAAAAGATAGCAGACACTAAGAGAAAGCCCTCACTGCAAGCCACAGGGAAGAAGTTGCTGTTCCCACCCCCTAACTCCTCCCCATGGACCCAGCAACCTAGAATGTCCCAGTAGGCAATCTGTCCACCATCCCTGAGCAGGGGGCTGAGATGGAGGTCAACTTGTTGGCTCAATGCAGTGCCAAGCCACCTGCCATTGCCCATGGTGGCCCAAGGTAGAAGCCAAGAGTATGGCATTTTGGAGGCAGAAGAAGCGAAAAGTTCTCTTTTCAGAAACTCCTCTTCCCCTACCTCTTCCAAGTGGAGATGTCAGACACCCACAGCCTGGAAAGCCCCCTGACCAACGAGGGTTGGGTGTTTCCCATGCAGTTCAGTAGTCAGGTGGGGGAGACCTGTGCCCCACCATTTCCTGGGAGAGGCGCCACGGCAGCAGTAAGCCGTGGGTGGGAGGGGTGTGGACCACGCCCCTGGGGTATGCATTGGTCTCCATTGGCTTGGTCTCTGGGTCGCTGTCACTCAGATAGTTGTGGGAGTATCAGGGCCTGGGGGTGCTGTCGAGAGGGTCGTGCTCATCTGACCAGTCAGCGGCAAGGGACTTCCAGTAGCTGATGGAGCTGGAACTCTTCAAGCTGCCATCATCGGAAGCTGCCTTGGAAGGCCTCTTGTTTTTCAACAACCACGACTTGACCTCATCGACCCGGTCCTCCAGCTCCGAGTCCACACCTGAATCCCGCTCGCTGTTGATAAGGTCCTCATTCTCATTGCTCTCCATCTCGTCCTCAACGGCAGCCTGCAGGTCCCCGATGTGCTTGAATGCTAGTTTTAGATCAGACTGCAGGTGCATCTCCAGCTCCTGGATCTTAGCTTCCTGCCTGCTCACCATAGACTTGTCCATTAGGGGCTGCTCCAGGAGCTCCACTTAGCTCTGGAGGGCTTGTAGCTTCTCCTGCAGCTCTTGCTTCTCCTTGTTGGCTTCTTCTAGCTGAGCTTGGAGATCATTCATTTGAGCCAGGTCCCAGGAGGCCTGAGCCACGAGCCACGGCCGCCTTGTGCTTCTTCATCAGCTCATTCATGTCCTCCTGATCCTCCTCCAGCCAGTACTGGATCTCATTCTTCTCACACTGAAGGTGGCTCAGCTGCTCCTCCAGCACCATCTTGGCTTTGGTGATGTCATCGATCTGCAGGTGTGGGTCTTCAGTCTCCACCTCCATTGCTTTCTGTGCTCCGACACCTGCTGCACAGATGAAATCTGACTCCTCCAGCTGCTTCTTCAGCTGGGCCATCTCCCTCTTGCTGGGTGCAGTGTTCTTCAGGTGGCCCAGTACTAGCTGTGTAAAGTGCTTTGAGATATACAAAGGCGCACTGATTTTGGAAGCTCGTAGACATAAAGTTTGAATCTCAGATTTGCTTCTGACAAGTTAACTTTTCTAAGCTTCAGGTTTCTCACACTAAAACATAAATGATAATATTACTTATCTCTACAGAATTATTTTAAGGAGTATAAATGAAATTAAATGTCTGTCCTTAAAATGTTAGTGTTCCTCAGGATTCCTTCCTGAACTCCCAGGAAGACGTTAGGCATTTCCAGGGCTTCCATGACATGTGCTGCTCAGTTCCAAAACTTGGTCTATGGGCCAGATGGCTCTCCTGAGCTCCAGACTGTAATATCCTTCTCCCAACTGGAACAACCACACTTGAATGTTCCACTGACTCCTGTATATCAGCATGTTCAAATCAGAACTCATTATCTTCCTCTTCACATGCCCCCTCCCTCCCACACATTGGCTCTTATGTTCTGCATCTCAGTGAATGGCACCACTATACACTCAGCTGATGATTTCCTTTCTTCTCTCATCCCTTTAAATATAAAACCAAGTATTGTCCAGTCCACCTCTTAAATAGTTCTTACATCTGACTACTTTTCATCTCCAGTAGTTTAGACGACCATCGTATGAATTGCCTTTAATAGGTATTCTTGCTGCCAGCCTGGCTTCCTATCAGTGCATTTTCCACAACACTTCAGATGACTCATTCACTCATTCAATAAATATTTAAAGTATTAATTTGCCAGGCACTGTTGTAGGCTCTGTGAATTCAGTAGTTAAAAACAGACAGAAATTTCAGCCCTAGTATAGGGAAAGATATTAAATATATTAAAAAGTAAACTATACAGTAACATCAGATGATGAGTGTTATGGAAACAAAACAAAGGAGGGGATGAGGAGTATTAGCAGGTGAGGCAAGTTTGCAATTTTTAAACAGGAGGGTCAGGAACAGCCTTTCTGAGAAGACATCCTTTGAGTAAAGATCTGAGGGTGAGGGAGTGAGCCATGAAGACTTTAGGGGAAGTGTATCCCAGACATAGGAACAGCAAATACAAAGGCTTTGACACAGGAGTGTGCCTGGTGTGTTCAAGGAACAAGGAGACCTCTTGGCTGGAGTAGACAGAATGGAGATGAAGTCAGAGCAGTAATGTGGGCCCAATTATATAGAGATTGTAAGGCCACTATAGGGACTGTGGTTATTCTGAGTGAGATGGGAGCTGTTGGATGGTTTTGAAGAAAGGAGTGACAAGATCTGATTTACAGGATTATTCAGAAAACGAACTGAAGGGGGGTCAAGGGAAGAAGCAGGGAGACTGGTAAGGAAATTACTGTAATAATCAGAGTAGGTGATCAGTATCTATCTGTTGATGAATAGGAAAGCAATTGACACATGGTTAATAATGGCAGCTAATTACTTACTAGGAGCCAGATAACATTCTCTATATTAAAATCATCTAATCTTCAGAACAATTCTGTGAGATACTATTATTATTCCCATTCTGCAGATTAGGCATTGAGATCCAGAGATTAATAGTTTACAAAAGATCACATGCAGTAAGTAGGCAGTTTTGCTCCAAAACCCCCCTTTTTTTTTTTTTTTTTTGGTGAGGAAGAGTGGCCCTGAGCTAACATCTGTGCCAATCTTCCTCTATTTTGTGTGTGTGGGATGCTACCACAGCATGGCTTGACAAGCCGTGTGTAGGTCTGTGCCCAGTATCTGAACCTGCAAACCCGGGCTGCTGAAGTGGAGCGCACCAAACTTAACCACTACACCACCAGGCTGGCCCCCAGAGCCCACCCTTTTAATCATCACGCTAGACCGTCTTATAGTAGGAGCTCAATAAACCATGACACACGGTGCTGACCTCTGAAGATCTGGCTAGAAGAACACCCAGGTGAAAACTAAAATAGAGATTTTTGAAAAATCCTTACACAAACACACCTAAGAAACACAAAGATGTGGGACTAGGAAATGAGATGGAAGCGTTCTGGCTGCCATTTGGGGAACATATTTCCTCTTGGCCTTCTTTTTACATCAATATTTTGAGGGTTGAGCATTCTTAGATCTCTGTGAGATGTTATAAAGCAGTCCCTGTGGAAGTTGTCTGATAAACGGTATAAAGTACAGATCACCAGATGCAGTGACCTGAGATCTGTCTCATGGAAGATAACGATTAGAAGAGACAGAAAAGTATAAGGCATGTTGTGGTGAAAGGGAATTAACTTGTTTGGTCAGAGCACAGTTAATGTCTATCAATTCTGTTCCTTCCAGTAAAAATACCTCACTAATAAGAGCACTACTTTTTTTGTCTTTTACATCAGGGAGACCACTCAATGGAAAATTCATTAATAAGACTAGGGTGACTGACTGTATCATCTTTAGTATATAATCTTCATATGAAAGTGCCAGAAAATGCAACTGGACAAAAAAATCTTTAAAAGAAGAAGTATAATGATTGGGAAGGAGATGGGAAAAGTATCATTATTTACAGATGGTATGACTGTTTTTCTGAAAAAGCAAAATAAAACAGCTGAACACAGGAAAAAGTAAAAAAGTTCAGTAAGTAGTCCAGTCACAAATAAATATACAATATCAACAACTTTTTATTGGAAGAATGATGCAATAGAGGAAAAAGATCACTTTCATAATAGCAATAACAACAAAAATCTAGCATAAATTTAAGCTATTTAATGAGCCAAACAAAAATAATAATAATAATGTAGGACATAAAATAAGTCTGGGTTCCTAGATTGTAGGCCTCAAACAGTATTTCCTATTAAAAGGAAAGAGGGTTCCTTGGAGAATATGATTTTGGTTCTGGGGCAGGATGAGTCTGCATGTCTTGTCATACCAGAAATCAAGGAAACAAAGATGAGGAGGGTCAGGTCAGAAGGACTGAGAAAGTGCCAACTTAAAAACAGGCTTTTGCTGGCCGAAGATGGGACAATATGAGCATCAATAAAATAAACGTAATAGATTAAAGTATATCAAATATGTTAAAATCCACAAATTTATAAGGAATCAACGGTAACAATGAAAAGCTCATTGGCCACCTTTGAAGGAAGCAGGGAGCCGGTCATAATTCTGAAAACTAGTACACAAACCAAGGGAAAGAATCAAGCTCTTGTCCTGCCCTTTCTGTAGGAATAGTATTCAGGGAACCCAAGTGTTGATTAGCGCGTTTCCTTCTTTAGAGGTATTCTAGCTAATGAATGAAAAAGAAATGACAGAATATCACCATTTTCAAGAACCCTAATGAAATTAATGGACTTAGGGAATGATCATCTCTTGCTATTAAAAGACAGAGGGACAACTGGCCATCGTATACCCCGCTAGATCTAATTATCAATTTACATTAAGTGCAGGGGGGTTAAATGACAGGTGAAGATGCATCAACAAAATTCAGAGTGTGGCAGAATCTACAGAACAAATGGCCTGGCTTCTTCAAAAAGTAAATTGCAAGGAAGGATTCCCCTTCTAGAGGGGAATTCGCCAATACATAATAAAAAACTACACATGCACTTATCTTTTGACCCAGCCATCACACTTCTAGGAATCTACCCTGAATGAAGATCCACCTCTGACAGTATGAAAATACATCACTGCAGCAGCTTGTAAGTGCAAAATATCGGAAACAAGCTATGTGCCTATGCATAAGAAATAAGAAAATGGTTTAATAAACTACCCACACAATGGAGTATGATGCAGATGTAAAACAAACAAAAAATGAATAAGATTTCTATAACTGATGTGGAGTGATTTCCAGGATATACTGTTACATTGGTGGAAACTGGGTTGAGAATATACAAGAACTCTCTGTACTATTTTTGCAACACTTTTGTAAGTCTAAAATTATTTTAAAGTAAAAATTAAAAATC